TCTCTTATTATATTTTGCGGCGCTGTCGCGACACTTTCAACACAGTAAGAATTTCTTCAACGTTTTTTTTTCAGTAACAGTCCAAACTCAAATAACGTGGGGGGGGGGGCGTAACACGGGTGACGACGCATCTGTATAATCTGCGGCAAACCGTTTCAGGGTGTTCTGTAGCATAAAAATGGTACAGAGATTCTTTTGTTCTTTAGACCAAATTGATTATTAAAAAGAGTGAAGAATACGCATGTTAATTTCTCTAGAACGATGTACCTCTGACGAAGACATGAGATCTCCGACCTCTAGTTTAAAGTTTAAGTTTGGAACGACTCATTTTGATATAGTCACACTGTTTAAATTTCGGATTATTGTACAAATGTATAACGTTATTCTTAGGATGGCTTATAATGTCTATAGTCAAGAGATGTATTAAAAATGTTACTTGTACTTTCTGAGTTAAAAAAATAAATGTAAGGGAATAAGACAGATTTTCCTTTGTCGAATTCCACCTCTCAGACACTTCCCCATCCCTTAGTAGTGTGTACGCAATTCACACACCTCACAATAGCAATTATTTCAGTCCACTTATTAGTATACATGTATAACTACGAGCGCCACCAAACGGTTCCTTGGAGAAATGCAACATCCCGAAATGTATCCTGGGAACCTTGACGTCATCAACCAGTCGGCCGAGATGGCAAGATGGCGGGTAGGCCTGTATTTTTGCCTGTTCGCTGTAGCTTGGATTTTCTTGGCAATCTTCGCGTTTTTACGCCCAAAACTCACCCGATTTATGCATCATTTTACAGAGAATGAGCAGAAGTATTACTGCAACTACTGCCAGGTGGACATAACGACGTTACGGGTCAAATGTGCAGTCTGCAATGACTTCGACCTTTGTTTGGAGGTAAGGCTTGGCCCATCAACGACTAACAATCAGTCACGCCAAAATGGTTTCGCCTGATGTGGGGGTGATCAAAAATTGGAAAAAAATACATCAAACATGCGAATTTATTATCATTCTGTATATATATTGCAGTGCAAAGTAAAACAAAGTAGATTTCGATATGTTATGAGTCATTTGACCTATATAGACTTAGACAATGGTGTCCTTGGGCCAATTTTGGGGACAAAAGAATGGACCTGTTCTCCCTATAATGCTAATGAACTGTACTATAATTTATGCATGAGGACACAGCTGTTGTGTTGAGCGACAGGTGACTGCCATAATACACACCAACAAAAACAATATTTCTTTGTAGCAACTGTTTTTTCAGGCCTGGACACAAAGACCATACCACCATGCTTTCAGGGATGGTGCGTTGGAACAAGGATAAAGAAATGTTATCTAGAGTAAATTTCACAGAGGAGAAATATTGTATGATATTGTGTGGAACCGAAAATGGACAATAGTGTCCAGAATTCAAATTACATTCCTCCCCAAGGGGTAATGGAAAATTTATATGCGCATTTTCTCTGCAGTTTGCTAGGTCATAACATTTCTCATTTTCTTGTACATGTATTTTTTTACCAAACATATATAATGCACCACATTTTAGGGCCAAATTACATAAAATGTGGTTTGGGGGTCCTTTGGAAATGTATGATATGGGCTCAATTATGTTTTTAACATAATCATGCAAGTTTGACATTAATCATGCGAATATGTTCTCATTTACCTGATTTTTATCTATTGGTCATTTTCTACACTTCATCCAAATTACAATTGGTCCCAAGTACATGAATGAAAGCTCTTTCTTGTCATAGAAAGCCATCATAGATAGCATTAATCATGCAAATTAGCCCTGATAATATCATACATACATGAGACATACATAATGCAAGAGAAAATATGGCAATTCTTTTTGCGACCTACTCACTCAGTGTTTGCAGGCATTGACATTTCCATTATGCCTTCCACAGTGTTTCTCGAGTGGTGCAGAGTTGGGCAACCACACAAGAGATCATGACTACCAAATTGTGGTAAGTGTTTTTATCACATCAAGTAAGGGGGTTGGCATTTACCTTCTTGAGTGGAGGTGCTGTGTTTGTGTGTCTGGCATTTTTTAAAAATAAAACTGAAACAGAATTCGAAGGTAAATCATACAAATTGGCTTTCCCTCCCAGGACCAGGGGAACTTCTCACTGTGTGAGTCAGAGTGGACAGCTCTGGAGGAACTGGCTGTATTGGAGGGGATCGAGCAGTATGGGTATGGGAACTGGTGAGTCCCACATGTGCCTGTCAGTATGGGTATGGGAACTGGTGAGTCTCACATGTGCCTGTCAGTATGGGTATGGGAACTGGTGAGTCTCACATGTGCCTGTCAGTATGGGCATGGGAACTGAACCAGGGAGAATAGTACATGTACTGAAAGAGAATTTCGTGTAGATGAATGGTAAGAGATAAAAAGCAAATGTTTTGAAAACATAGGGCATCATTTTGGATGTGCAGTGACCTCTCGAACTACATTGTACATAGCTTTTCAGCTCCCTTCTTTGTTTTGTAGGGAGGAGATTGCAGACCACATTGGAAACAAAACATCCCAAGGTACAGTTCTGTTTCAGACACTTGAAATACCGTGCTAGACAATACATCATATGAATCTTCATATCATACTTCTGATCATTTCCTAAGTTATTATTAGCACAAAGATGTAGAAGCTATATAAAACCAAACTGGTGGAAAGACTATTTCGAGCCCTGCTTTGCCTCAACCTCAATTGTTGTTGCGTTCCAACAGAGGTGATAGAATTTTACCAGGCGAGGTTCGTCCACGGCAACCTGGGCAAGTCGTGCATTCCAGAAGAGTCGCCGTACAAGGTGGTGGACCACACGTCTTCCAAGGACGGCCCCCTGTCCCCCAGCCTGTCCACCCCACCCCAACCCCCCGCAGAGCTCACCCTACAGGAGCAGCAGGAGCTGGGCTACATGCCCCTCAGGGATGACTTTGAAAGGGTGGGTATGGCACTAGGTTGTGGTAGCAGTAGTGCAAATATAGTAGTAGTAGTAGTAGTAGTAGTACACTGGTTTATTTGTGTCAGCAGCAACAATTCAACTACTACTACTATTACTACTACTCCATTGTAGTAGTAGTAGAAGTAGTAATAATAGTAATAGTAGTAACCAGGCAGTCTGGTTACTTCTTACAAGCTATGAATGAAAGAATTGAATGAATGATTTGGTAATTGTCCATTCCTGTGACTGCATACTTTTCATCTATTACTTTAGATATTGCATTATGAAAGTATGTTGTTTTGATGAATGTCTTACTATCATGCAGGAATATGATAATGAGGCAGAGAGTATGGTCAGCACACTAGCAGTCAACTATGATGATGATGATTTAGAAACAGGTAAGGCACTAGGACATTTATAATTGGTTGGCTGATTGGGAATTTTGGAATAATTTGATTTGTTGGTTCTATGATTTTAACAGGAAATTAATTAAGAGGGCTGGTGTGAAAAAAGGCATCTTGGAATGGAAAACTATATAGTATAACAATTAGAATGAAAAGGGCCAGTCTACTTATTAGCAATGCTCAGATCACCATGTTTCACTTCATCTGTTTCAGCTTTGAAATTAGCCCAGGTGGACATGTTTTTACGAAGACTAAAAGAAAGGCAAAGAAGAAAAAGGTGAGTGGTGAAAATTTCTGCCATGGTAGCAATTGTATAATTACTATGTGTATTTATAAATGGAAATATTAACAAGGTACTGTTTTTCTATAAAGATAAACATAATCATTAATTTCTGTTGTATTATTTCTTCTCCAGAATAGCAAGAGAGTATGGACTTGTAGGCATCTTCTTCAACAAACAAAAGCAGCAAGGTAAAATAAATAAATACTTAAATGGCACTTTTTACTCCTTGATATGATTTTTTTTTGCATTTTATATGTCATAATTGTGTTTTTTTAATGAAATTGTAACATCATTTATGTTTCTACTTTTCAGCCAAGAGAAAATTGTCAAAAGATGAAAAGTAAGTCAATGTTGGTGTACCGTGTCTGCTTATTTTGTAATATATGTATTTGTCAAAGTCAGTGTATGGCATTGCAAGATGTATGGATAATATATGGAGCTGTTTTTCCACTTTCCATTGTTTGATTCTGTAAGTGTTTAAGTTATTTCAAAACATGATCAAGAAATCGGATGTTTTCCTTTTCCAGGGAACTACGGGACAGAATGAAAGTATATTCCCAATTCCATGCCTCAGAGCAACACGAGCAGTTCTTCGAAAATCTCCAAAGTGGGTTTCATTTTGTTTCAATCAATCTGCATCTAATTGAATTATCTATGAGTACATTCAGTATTTACCTGCATATGCTCTAAGTTCCCTTTGTCTCATTTCACAGAAGAGAAACAGATGAGGAGTAGAATAAAGGAGCTGATGAGGTATCGAAGGAACGGCATCACAAAGCTGGAAGGTTCGTCAACTTGGCTCTTTGCAAACTTGATAAGGATTCCAGTCCTCTTTTTTAGCTTTAGTGCACTTTCTCCCTGCCACTTCCCTGCCAAAAAGACTGGACCCACACATATTCTATCCATCTGATGCTGATGTCATAGTTATAACTAGAATAATGTCAAAGTTTTAAAACATTCTAAGTTTGTACAAATTATGCTTATTGTATGCACATGTATTGGTCCTATAGATTTTTAACATGAAGAACCTTTACTGTCCTTCAGAATGTTCAGAATACGAAGCTGCCAGGTACAAAAGGGAAAAGAGGAAAGAGAACAAGAAGAAAATGGTAAGCCTGAATTGAGTGGGCTTTTGTCTAGCTTGAAGGGCAGATATTTTTGAAGTTACATGTAGGTAAAATGAGAGGCCAAGTTGGCTTTTCCCAGTGCCTTTTTTGGCTAAGTTTAGTTCCCTAGGACTGTTTTTTTACAGGGTTGTTTCATCCCCCTGGATTTTCTGTGATAGGTTTTACTCCGTAGAACTTCTGTGCATGGTTTCCTTCCCTGTAATTTCCATTTTATGTACACATGTACTTATTCAACTCTCTGTACATCCTCGCAGGCTTCCTCAGCTGCATCTAAGAAAGGTGGAGCCCTAGCAGGTGGGAAGAAGCCAGAGTAAGTCTCACTCTGGGAACCAATCAACATTCAGGGTTTCTAATTGCATTAGAGACCCAGATGGTGCTGGCTTATGATTCTGTTAATCTGATTGGCTGGTGGTCATGTGACTATGAATTTGATTATACTAACTTAAGGTGGTGGATTTTTAATGATTTATTTGAATGTATGGTTGATTTACTCTCCAAGCAGAAGTTAATCTTGTTTTGTTTTGTTGTTTTAGGCATTTTGTCAGGGTTTCTATTGTGTGAGTTTTTCTTTGGGTTAGGCAAGTTTACCCCCAAAGAAAAGATGACAAGATAGAAAGTTCATCAAAATGCAGAGTACACCGAGAAACTTGACAACTGTTTTAATTCTTGTGAGTTTCACATGGTTTCTCTTTGCTCCTGTTGCTTTACAGAGAAAAGGAAGGAAAGAAATCAGCTGATGAGAAGGGTAAGGAACTTGTTGCTTTTCAGCTCAGTTATCATGAGATCAATGCCTAACATCACTTACAGCTGTTGAGAAGTTTGCAGAAAGTGCTGGCCTGGCTCCAAGGCCTAGGTTGCCAGCCCAGCTCTTTGCATAAGTGCACCTAGTAGCTTTGTGTCATGAGCACATAGATCGTATACTGTGAAACTGGAATCTATGATTTGCTGGAAAATCAAAAATGAATAAGTAAAAAATAATCTAAAAATAATAGAACTGCTGCAAACACTTCGTGACACAAGTACATGTATTAAATTTTAATCTCAATTTCATCTAACTTATGTGTGTTATAACGAAAGGCGGTTATATCGGCTAAACAGGTAAAGATACAGAACTATGGGCAGAACCCCTTCTGGGCCTTTCTGTGGAGCGAAACCCTGTACAGATTTACTAATTTGCCTTTTGCACAGACAGTGGCTCAGACAGTGAGAAGTACCAGGGCATCAAGTCGGCGCCCTGCTTTAACCTACTTTCTGAGAGGGAAAAGACGGTGAGTACTTTTACTTTTCACAATGAAGACAAGAAGTCAGAGATGTCAGACTTCTGGGAAGTATTTTCATTGTTGAAATTGTAAAACATGAGGAAATGGTCTCTGTAATGTATGTATGGATTCTGTATTAATAATCCACATGTATTCCTTGTTGCCTTCTCCAGCTGTGTAGTTCAATGGGCATGAATCCAGCCAAATACATGACTGTCAAGACCATCATAATAAAGGTGAGCTTGTGTTACACGATCTCGTTGTTAGTGGTTGATTGGGCCTCCTCCTTAAGAGAACCATTCTCATTCCAACTTCCAAGGACTACCAATAAGAGCTCAAGATTCTTTATCAATGTGAAAATCATTCTAATAGGCTCAGGTTTCTTTGTTACCATGCAAATCAGTCATCACTGTCCCCTGACTTAGAGGGTTTGACCATCAAGCTAAGTTGTATGGGCCTGACCAGTAGAGGGGTTGCTAGAAGCATGATATAAATGTTGGAGCACAATATAAAGTCAGTCAGTCCTTAAACAGTTTGTTGTTCCCCTCAGGACCATGTGCAGCGTCGGCAAGGCATCCCCACCAAAACTCGCTACCCACAAAACCTGGACAAGCTGCACCGCAAGCGAATCATCAGCTTCCTGGCCGACAGTGGCTGGATCACTGTGGGGTAGGGAGGGTGGGGAGGGGGGCAGATCATCACGCAAATGGAGCTGGAAAGGTTCTCACACCTGTGGATGTAGGGTGATGGTAGAAAAGATTTAGACTTTTGTACTACACTGTGCAATGTGGTCATGTGTGCTATAGTATACTTATTGCAAAAATACCAATACAATGTATCAATATGTCTCAAAAGGACCAATGTCTTGCCACCGTTGCTTACAAGGGCAGGTATTGTGTCCATCCATGAAGAATTTTAGGAGCCTCAACTGCAAGATGATTCTTAAGATAAAGCACTTTTAACGCGACCAGTCTTTCTCACCTGACAATGTATAACTTGTCAGCTGCCATCGTGCATAACTAGTTGTTTCCACTAGGTGGCATTGTGGCAAGGTTGTGGTCCTGACTTACCTGATTTTTATTGCCTGTTGATATGACATAAGATTCAAATGAATACAGTATCTGTCATCGTGACAGACAGTAGGTGTACTCAAGTGCCTCTTATTGTGATAGCTACAATAGTCACCAGTGTGTGTGCCGTCAGCCTGACAGGTATGGTTCATTGGCCTGCAAAAACAGATCTAAGCCAGAAAGACAGGTTCAGTTATCTGCCATTGTAAAGAGATGTGTCATGTAGATCATGTACTGTAGGACGTGTTGATGACAACTTAAATGTTTCATTATGTACTCATCTGTAGTCAGTGTAGGTTAGCATGCTTCCTGACTTGTAAATGTATTGCCATGCTACTTCTCTATGAGAAGAAGGCTCACTAAGGAGACGTGATTTGGGGGATGATTTTTAAAACTATCCATGAAAGTCCTTCCGTCAAAAAAATGTTGCCATCACCAGTTACGATCTATTGTTTAAAACTTTATGACGGTTAAATGTTGCTGTCGGTATGTGTACAAATAGTTTAGGGCTAGCACATGTACAGTTTCTATTATGCGATTGCTGTCAAAAGAGGCACAAAATCGATCTCATGGCTGTAACAGCAGTGCAAGGGGGCCTCTCTAGAAACCTAGCTTGCATTCTTAGTGTGCCCTTTGATAATTCTTTTGGATCCATTCAAAGCAGAGCAATTTATTTCTTAACATGTAGCGAAGGCAATTTCCTATGGTTAAGCCAACTTTTTAGAATTAACTGCAGAAAAATCTCCTGTTCAGATGAAGAGAGACCCTACTAAAGTAGTTGAAACCTGTGCACTGTCAAGACGTTTTCATGGTGCTTGCCTGATACTCATCTTGCTAGGTGCAAATTTCAGCAGTTTTAGATGTAACTATGTAAGCACTCAGATACATACGATGCCTTCAAAGGCACTTCAACATGTATGTGCATTTTGTTTGCGTGGAAATGTGTAAAAAAATGCCTTTTTACTGACAACCTTCATAGAAATGTCAGAAGAAAGTCATTATAATCATTCCTCCCCAACCTTTGATGTCATTCTAGAATATATGAGTCCAGTTTATAGATGGATTCCAAATTTGTGGTATATTTTCAGTGTTGACGGGGATATTGTGTGATATTAGAAATCTTAAGTTATTTAGCGATACTCAGGATGGAATTTTATATGTTCTGAATTTTTAATATCAAATGGGCTGAAATGTTGTCTGCCATACATCTTATGAAGAAGATATGCTTATTTATTGCAATTTGTAATGATTCAATGTAATTAATGCTATGCTTAGTGTGAAATGACTTAAGCTTTGTACGTGTGCATAGGAAAGTGTTTGTTATAATACAGAAAACTATGTTATCAACCTAGTAAATTTTTCCTTACTCCTTTAATGAATATGGCAGATAGTGTCAGTGTGGCCTAAGGTAAACCATCTATGATCTAGTTGAGCAAGACCAACATGAAGTAATTAGTTGTACACTGCACAAGTTAGCATTTGTAACTCATCAACCAGTAGTTGATGTGCTAATTGTATATAATTGCAAATTCTGGAAACTTCTGGATCTCAAACATCAACAACAAAACCTTCAAAAATGAGAAGCCTAGCTAACGGTAGCAGGCTGTTTTGCTAATCCAGTGCTAATATTTTCAAGGACAAAAAGATTAGATTGGTGTGGCCTATACGCAAAGTATAGTAGAGACATATCGACTTTCTGTAGTTGTAGAGACCACACCAATTTATTTATTTACTTCTCAGAAATTTTTAAGTAACAGTGATCGAATAACAAGATGAAAACAGCTGTGAGGAAAACTGAAAATAGACCCTATGACACCAAAAGATGAATGAATAATATCGTGATTCTTCTGAAACTGTCAGAAGATTGTCTTTTGGTGTCATGTCGTCTTATTTCCCACTCCTATGCTTGATGAAATTCTATGTATAAATTGAGAGTCAAAACAATTTTAGCTGTTTTTGTCTTTTGGAACATGCCATTTTGTTTCCGGAAGTGTACAAAGAACATGCTTGAGGTATTTTATCAGATCATCTTGAATCATAGCATTTTCAATTTTTCCAAAATCTGAAAGGTTTTGAATTGAATTTGGGTATCACATACAACATACTTTCACACATCATATTTAGCTATCATAATCTTCAAGCAGATTACAGCTATGAACTTTTCCAGTCAATACAACTCATGTCATGCATCTTTGGCCATTCCAGTTTGTTGACTATTAAACCTTGTTACGTTTCATATTTTTAATATGCAAAGCTACACATTAAAGGTAGCCATTTGTGGAATAAAGGTATGGTCAGAATTTTTTTACATGTTCATACAAGTCAATGAGAATAAATCTGTGGTACGTGCATGTCTTCTTATGTGCAGTGATGTTGATGATTTCTTCCATGTGGGTTCTTGGATTTAGAAAAAAACTGACAAATCTCATCAAGAAAGGAATGTCTAAATTGTAACGTCACCTTGCATGTAGTGTACGAGAAACAAGAAATGAAATTGGTATTGCCTATCTTTACATCTGCTTGGAGATTTACTAAATCGCGGTCTCTTGGGAAAGCTGAGATGCCAGATAAGGTCACACACATCACGTGACAACATGGCGGCGGCGCTTGCTAGAGTTTTAGACCGGGCGGTTAGATTGTCCTTTCCTATCCGCATCCGTGTGTTTCCAGCGGCCAGGTTCAGTCAGCATACTGTGGCACGATGTCTCTCCACCACGCCGGCGAAGAAAGCTGTAGAGACCACGACTCCCATGCCGGAGGCCGACGGCTTTCCTGGCGTGCGGACCCACCAGGATCTGTACGAGTTCTCGCTGCGGGAGCCCGACACTTTCTGGGGAACCCTCGCCAAGTCCCGGCTGCAGTGGTTCAGGTCCTTCGACCACGTGAGTGACTGTGACATGTCGGAAGGGAGGATAAAATGGTTTCTTGGAGGCCAACTCAACGTCTCAGGTATGGGAGAACAACTACAACAAGAGTTCAGCGGCGTCGGCCAGCATGTAGCGTTATGTTGTAACACTCGAAAGTTTCACTTCAGTAAGAAGTTTGATCTGTAAACAACAAAATCGTAGGTAGCCTGCGTGGCGATACAGTTTTAGGAGTTATGATGAACCTCGTTAGATGAAAGCAGGGAAAATGTGCTTGCTGGAAATATACTATAAAGATAATTTTGATAACCCCTTCCTTGAACACTACCGTCCGTTCACGCGTTTCAGTGGCGATAATTTATTGCGGGCCTCTGCCCAGAACGGCTACCGCCCCCTCCCGCTTGTTTGTTTGGTGTCCACGCCCCCAATGTAGGATTTGGCAGCAAAACTGGAAACATTTGCATCATTATTGGTGTTTCCAGCGTCTACAACCGGTGCAAAAATATCCCATACTAAGATCCTATTATCTTTTCAGGCGGTTACCATTTACTAATGATTTAGACAGTCAACTTCACCTTCCTGTCAGTCTCCCCCCTTTTATTCTCACAGGAACCATTAAACATTGTGAAATTGTTTGCAAGGCCCAGAGTGGGAAGGGGGAAAATTTATGATGTTATAAATTTTGTAAGTCTATTTTCTTTTGTAGCAGCATTTGGTAAGTTGCTATGGTCCTAGCCGTGGCGACTCTTGATTCGGGCTTACATTGCATTACCCTCAGCAAGAGTCGTGGAAAGAACCATTGGCAGAACTGCACATTTCCCGTTGGCTGCACGATGCTCCGTTTTTGACCCGGTTTTTTGCTGTCCCGAGCTTCCCTACAATATAACTCCACAATTGGCCGGGTTGCCGATGTTTAGATCAGCCTAAATATTCCACAGCGCGACAGGAAAAGTAGTAAAATAGCTAGTCGGCACAAGCTGGCGGCCATCTTGGATATAGTCGGGAATGTCCGCTACCGCCGTCGGGAACGCTCGGTAGCGTCACGATTACCAAAGCGCGACCGAAAGCTCTCCGATTATAACCGGAAAGGCTACCGAGCGTTCCCGACGACTGCACCGGACATTCCCGACTATATCCAAGATGGCCGCCATCTTGTGCCGACTAGCTATTTTACTACTTTTCTGTCGCGCTGTGGAATATTTAGGCTGATCTAAACATCGGCAACCCGGCCAGGGTAATGCAATGTAAGCCCGAATCAAGAGTCGCCACGGCTACTATGGTCCCAGCATTATTCCCAGCAACCTGCATATTAACTTTACCCCAGTATATAAATTATAACAATACTTTTTTCTGTTATGATTTACAGTAAATACCTTGGACAGACATGCGCAGAAGACACCAGACAAGGCAGCCCTGATTTGGGAGAGGGATGAACCAGGCAGTGAAGTCAGGGTCACATACAGGTGAGTCTTTATCCACTACCTCAAAGTCTGTTTTGGTAACGGTAGCCTGTATGGAACCAGGCATCACGGATACATATAATGGCAATTTATTATGTTTGCTTTGTTTGCAGCTCTAAAGGTCATTTTTTTGCAAGTTGCCAGACTCTGAAACAGCTGCCATGTTTACTTTGAGGTTGTTAACTGGATTACCAGGCAGTAGAAATCAAGAAAAGGAAGTATGATTCGCAAAGTTCGATGTTCCTTCCATAGTAATAGTATCACAAGGATTGGTAATTTGTCCAAATCTGTTTGTTCATTTTAAAAAAGTGCTTATCATGGTTGAATGTTGTCAGAAATTGTTTATTTTAGTTTAGTTTAATTTAGTATTATATTTTGCTTTATTTTACAGCATTTCACTTTACTTACCTCACTGGCTGTTAGCTATGTTACTATGGACTGATCTCGTAGCCTCGCCTATCTCCATTGAAACATTGAAATACAGAGCACTGCAAATTTCTGACAGACTTGCAGCCACACTCTCATTAATTATACGTACTTACCACTTATTGGTATGTGATCATTGGTTGAACTGCTAATTGTGATGGACAGTCAGGATCAATCTGTATTACCAAGGAAACTTACAAGCAT